TTAAATACTTTCAAGACACACTGGTAACTTGGTACTGACCTTTGCAGTTTTGGAAGTCATTCATTTCTGCTGAAGGTAGTTCTTCATCACTAGATAGTCCTTCCTCATGACTACAATTCCCAGAAAGTACCCTTGAGTGTCTTCTTTGTGTCCTATATTTTGTAATAAACCAAAAATCAACTCTAAGCAAATAGCACTAGCTGAAAATAAATGCTTAAAAATAAAAAGGAAATATCCAATCTGTCTAGGCGGAGCTGAAGAAATGAAATGCAGATGGGTCTCTTGTGATACAATAGTGAATAATTGTTATCAGGACTGATGAGGGTTAGAAATGTAAAGGTAGATGTTTTATAGCAAGGAAGGGAGTGATTAACATTCCAGCCTAGGAACGGAGGTCCCTAGGACCATCAAGGGAGAAGAGCTGAGAGCGGGACCCTACCCAGAGCAGCAGTGATGCCTGAAATGGAGCCAGAGATGATGACGTGGAGCGATGGAGCAGCTGGGGATTTTAGATCCAGAGAGGGAGAGCGACTGTGTGCTGAAGACGGTGTGTGTGTGGGGGGGGTGGGGAGGGGGTGGGTGGGTATGTAGAGTGTAGGGGGCAGTCTTGCAAGGTATATACCCTTTGGTTGGTTGATGATGCATGGAGGGGATTTTAACCATGGCAATGAAACAATATACAATAGAATGAATGTAAAACTAATGTTCTTCCATGTAAACTATCATATAATTCACAATAAAACATTAAAAATAATAATAAAAATAAATAAAAAGGAAAACTAAAATCAAAATGTCTAGAAATACACCACTATATTAGCATAGTATTATATTAAAAATCTTGGCAGCATTAGTCTGAATTTGTGAGTCTCCTTTTCCCTTATCATAAGACATTCCCATTAGTTAAATAAATTTGAAGATGGTTTCCTAGGACTGACTTCTAGTTATGAACAATTCCTAGACTGATGAATCTCATTTTACTGATTCTTTTCAGTAAGTATACCCATGTTATTAAACTCTGAATTTGAGGACTACTTAACTAAATTTTGGTTTTACATTATTTTCACAAATTAATTTGTTATATTTAAGTTAATTATACTACAAGGCTAATTATACTATGTGTGAAGAACACTTGCCCAATGATGCTATAACTCTTTATATAATTACCTTCGAGATTCAATTTCTTCTAAAATCCCTTGTGTTTTTTCATCTATAGCCAAGCTTCCACTTGTTGATATTTCAGCATTGCCTGTTAATGAGTAAAACTGATTACATACTGCAAATCCTCTAAAACAGTAAAGTGAAATAATTTGAAAAAACAAAACAAAACAAAACCATGCGTGCATATATACACACATGTAAACACACAAATATGCTTGCATTGCATATGTCATTAGGCCATGAAATTGCACATGTTACCTCCCTTTCACAATGGTGGCAGGCTTCAAGTTTGCTTGCCTAAGGAAATGTACTGTGGCTGCTGAATATAGTCCAGCGTTTGAAAATACAAACAATACTCTACCACAAAATTCCATCCTTCAAAAAGTTTTACCAGTTTTCACCAATTTTTCTGCCTCAAACGCTAAAGATATTTGTGTAATCAATATGTTATTCACAGTGTTGTTGTTGTTAAGTGCCGACGAGTTCGTTCTGACTCATAGTAACCTAGTACATAGTTCCAAGGAGCAACTGGTGGGTTTGAACCGCTAACTTTGCAGTTACAAGTCCAGTGCTTATCCTACAGTGCCACATGCTTCTTCTTCAGCAAAAGAAGAAAAAAAAAACAAACACACAAAACCCCCCCCAATACAAACCAATCCCATTGCCATCAAGTCAGTTCTGACTCATAGTGATGCTACAGAACAGAGTAGGACTAACTGCCCTAGAGGGTTTCTATACAGAAGCAGACTGCCACATCTTGTTCCCACAGAGTGACTAGTGAGTGACTGGTGAGTCTGAATTGCTGATCTTTTGGTTAGCAGCCGAGAGTTTAATCACTGCACCACCAAGGATCCTTCCTACTTTCACATGTACTCATTATTCAAGACCAACAAAGTGCCATGTGGTTGAAAGTCACTTCGCCTTTACCGCCTACTTGATTATGGTCTCATCTCTTTCACTATCTTTCTTAAATAAAAGAAGACATTTCTGAAAAATACAAAACCAGCGTGAGGACTGGAAGGAAGCATTCAAATCTTATAAACTTTACAGGTATTTCTGTAGTAAACTCCATCATGCTTTCCTTACCCTTCCTGATCAATCTGTCAGCCTAAGGTTTATGTGAACTATCTCAAAATAATAATTAAATAGGCCACATACATATTTTGTCTCACAGAACTAGGATTATAATAATTAGAAGTTATAATTTTTTATTTTCACTCTTAGAATAAACAAGAGATTTTAAGGTTTTAGCTCTATATGGTTTGAAGCTATTAGAAGAGTTGGAGAAAGATATGCAAAGAGCATTTTTTAAACGGAGGAATAAAAAGTTTTTATTCTCTACGTGAGAACTTAACTTAAAGGGTAACAAATTATACTGAACATGAAGAACACTAACGTGATAACTGTTGTAAATACGTTGATTCATGTTTTAATTCATCTTGTCTGCGCTTCATAAAGGTCATGGCTTGTTTAAAGAGGAGTGCATGCATGGATGATTCTATTTCTTGAATGCTGACAATCTGAAATACATAATAGGTAACATTTTGAAGATTAAGAATAACAAATTACATAAAGTATTAAATAGGATGGCACAAGGCCCGGGCAGAGTTTTGTTCTGTTGCACACAGGGTCACTATGAGTCAGAACCAACTCAATGGCACCTAATAACATACAAAACTAATATTTAGAAGACAAACATATGTTTCATTTTCATATAATGAAACATCTTCAGTGCCATTACATATAAAACACCGTGGGCAACAGATCTAGGTACTGACATGTTTAATATTGTTGTTGTTAAGTGCTATCAAGTTGATTCCAACCCATAGCGACCCTGTACAGGGCTCTGAGGAGCAGCTGGTAAGTTTGAACCAGCGACCTTGCGGCTCAAACTGACCTTGTAATCCAGCACACTAACCAGCAGCAGCACACCAGGACTCCACTTTTAATATTAAGAAACAGAAAACCAACTTCCAGTACTGTCACTAAGTCAATTCTAAGTCATAATGACCCTGTAGAACACAGGAGTACTGCCCCCAGGTTGTAAACCTTTATGGAAGGAGGCTGCCACATCTTTCTCTCACAGATCAGTTGGTGGGTTCACGCTGCTGATCTATGGTTTAGCAACAGAGCTCTTAACCTCCAGGGCTCCTCAGAGCAGGTATGTTGTTAAGTGCTGTCATGTTGGTTCCAACTCACAGAAACCCTGGATGGGGTTTTCCAAGGAGCGGCTGGTGGGTTTGAACTGCTGACTTTGTGGTTAGCCGTCCAGTGCTTATCATATATATAGATCAGGAGTCTAGGAATAAATGTCTGTAAGTACAGAGACCTCATGAGATGGGAGTCAGGAACATGGAGGGAGCAGCTTTCAACAAGAGAAAGGGTTCTCCTTCCTCTGAGACAGGGTTAGAAGGAAATAAAAGGTGCAGTGATTACCCATCAACTGAAACAGCATACTGGAGGGGGGCACTTGAGAAAAACTGGTGAAGTTACAAAAATTAAATAGAAAAGACCTCACAAGTAAGTTATATGGCAGAAATGAGGACTCTTTATTTTTACATTTCTTGGGCAGTGATTCTTCGCCTCCAATGATGTTGCACAACTGTAGCTATAGATTACATTAATGTGAAGGTTGATATGACTTTAACAGTGTAATTCACCTCAAGTATGAATTAAAAAAGAAAACTACAAGTAGAGTATACAATATTTTTAAATGGTTAGTTTACTTATGAAAAGGGAGCACGGTGGCTCCATAGGATAAGTGAACCATCAGGTTGGCAGCTGAAGCTGCTCTGTGAGAGAAAGAAGTTTTCTGCTTCTGCAAAGATTTAAAGCCTCAGAAAGCCTATGACTCAGAACTAACTTGCAAACAGTTAACAACAACTTACAAAAAAGAAAAAGAAAAAAGGTAACTCAAATCCTTGATGAAATAAAAACTATAAAGGGAAAGATTGATCGATTTGATTAACATCAATTTTCAAGACATCAAAATGTCAAAAAATGATCACAAACACAATTCAAAGACAAAATAAACTGGAAACTTTATCTACTAGATTTTCCTGCAAATGACAGGCCCATGTAGAGAACACATGTGCACAATGGCATACACACATATCATGTGCACAGAAAGCTAACATGTGAGGGAGCTGCATGGTTTGCAGAGTATAAACGCCCATGTTATTCACAGACAAACATGGCTTATCAAATTACAGCACATATTGACAAATTTACATCATAAAAGAATGTTCATCAAGTAAGAGAAAAAATGTCACCAAGAATCCAAAAGATAATAGTGGAGAAGAGATAGACAAATAATTGACAAGATCAACTATAGATAGCTAGAAAAACAAAAGATTTGTTTAATATCAAATCTATTTTAAAAAATTTAAATATAATTAATAAAATAAAACTGGCACAATTATTTAATAAAGTCTTAAAAATATTTAGGTCAATTCACTTTCCAGAAATTTTTCTTATGAAATTTTATACACAAAAATTATATAGTACCATAATTGTAAAAAAAAACAAAACAAAAAACCTAAATGTCCATCATTTTAGGATATCATGTCAAAATGTGTAGGAAAAAAAAACACTAGAAAAAAGTATTTGTGATTCAGACATTTTTTTTAAGCACATGGGGATTATAAAAAGAGAATTGCTCAGAAACAGAAAATAATATACTTAATACCTTATAGTCACATACCTTTTCATTAAAGCAATCAATTAAATTGTCCACATAAATTTTCATGCTTTTATAGAATTTATAATTTAGAGCTTGATTTGATGAATTCTCTAAATTCTGGATTGTGCTCTTTGAGCTCTTGACATCTTGAATATATTTTTCATATTCCCTCAGGTGTGAACGGTGAGTATCCTGTAACAATGTTAATCTACACAAGTAAAAAACAAAACAAAACCGTATTTTCAAATTTTAATTTCTACCATAAAAAGCAGTAAACTAATGATTTTTTCTCAAAGCTCCCTTATAGAGACCACCAAGAACAATGATCACATAAACTGGGGTTTACAGACTTGTTGAGCAAAGAGAGCATCACAGGAAACCCACCCACTATCAAGCTGACTGCAACTTGTAGCGACCCTCTACTGGGTTTCTGAACCTGTAAATCTTCATGGAAACAAAAAAACCTCATCTTTCCTCTGAGTCTGAACTGCTGGCATTGTGGTTAGCAGTCCAATGCTTATTCTACAGAGCCACCAGGGCATCCTATCACATGGAAATATGTCTCAAAAGGGCACTTACACACGGGTAAGGGACAGAGTAAGGGTATTTTTAAAGTATAAGCTAATATCTGCTATCAGAGGGTCTCGCTGAGTCAATGGCAGTGGGTCTGGTTGCTCACTTAATTCTGTTAAGACAGCTCTCTTTTTCCAGCTCTTGAGACTTTTTCCATGTATCAGTTGTTAGTGCATAAAAAAAAAAAATTCAATTTTTATCATTTAAAAAATTCAGTTGTCCCTTATGCATATATACCAATAGAGGACTAAGAAATACTGTTTCTTTAAAAACATCCGGAATGTATTTTCTACCATTTGATTTTACGAATGTCTACAACAAGGTGAGGTGGTAGTTTGCCAAAACCCTAGAATATCCATTTATATATTTTCAAGTCTTTATTTCACTACTTTTGTTGCTGTTGTTAGGTGCCTGTTAAGTAGGTTCCAACTCACAGCGACCCTATGCACAACAGAACAAAACACTGTCCGGTCCTGTGCCAACCTCACAACCATTGCTACTTGAGCCCACTGCTGCTGTCACTGTACTAACCCATCTCACTGGGTTGTCCCTCTTTTATGCTGACCCTCCACTATACCAAACATAATATCCTTCTCCAGGGACTGGTCCCTCCTGATAATATGTCCAAATTGTGAGCGACAAATTATGGCCATCCTTGCTTGTAAGGAACAATCTGGCTGTCCCTCTGCCAACACAGATTTGTTTATTCTTTTATTATTCTTCTCTATCACTATCACTCAAATGCATCAATTCTTTATGGTCTTCTTAATTCAGTGGTCCAACTTTCACATACGTATTAAGCTATTGAAAATACCATAGCTTGGGTCAGGTGTACCTTAGTCCTCATCTTCCAGCATTATATCTGACATGAATCTGGTGCTATTCATAATGTTTCAATATCCAATATTCTGGTGCTCTCTTACAATGTTCCACTGATATTTGTATGGTTTTCAGTGGCGAAATATTTGGAAGTAGTGCACCCCTCCTTCCTATCATGGGTAACCTTACTGGCACAGCTTCCAGATCACAGCAACACGCAAGCCACCCCAGTAAGACAAGCTGACAAATGAGTGACAGATACTATAAAACATCCTTTTTTACATCAAATCTTCATTTAAATGAACAATTGCAGCAAATATATTTTAGTTGCAATATTACTAAAAAATGAAGCTACCTTAAAGTTCATTTAAGAAAAGACACTGAGGAAAATAATTTTGAACCTATTTCTGTGTAAGAATTAATTATCTATCTAGCTATCTATCCCACAAATGTATGTTTAAGAGCTTGAAAGTGGATATGTGTACATGGGTAACTACAGGGAGGAAGTGGGACAACTGTTGTTGCATGGAGGGGATTGCAATCATTGAGATGAAGCAAAATGTAAGATTTGTTAAATGTGAAACTGATAATTTTGTCTATAAACCTTAACTCACAATAAAAAAAAGTTTCTGGAAAATGGAATTAAGATAATAGAGTGTTTCATAAACTTCCTGAAGCCCATTCATACAGGAACAAAATGTTCACTATTAGCCTTATGTATAACTGACAAAAGTTCCAAGTCCATATGTCCAACAGAGAAGTACTCAGGTAAATTATGATATATCAAGTATAAGGAAGAAAATGATCTTTTAAAGAAATAAAAGGCTATTTAGCAATGCAACAAATGTTTATGACCATGCTACTAAAAAAGGCATATTTATGTTAACTGCTTTTACTTAGGTAATGAGTACCTACTCTAAAAACTAAAAATACACATACAAAAGTAAAATTAACGCTAGTATGTTAATACAGATGTTCCCCCATAAATCCATTTAATAATTAAAAAGAATATAGTATTAATCTATTTTACTATTAAATATGTAGGACAAATATACATTGAAAAATGAAGGTGGTTGTTAAGTGCCACTGAGTCCGTTACAACTCACAGCGACCCTGTATAGGGTTTCTGAGGTGCGGCTGGTGAGTTTAAATCATGACCTTGTGGTTTAAACAGACTCTGAGTCCAGTGCATTAACCCACAATGACACACCAGGACTTCAAAAAATGAATGTTACTTACCTAGTATTTAATTTTCTCTTTATCATTTCTAAATTTACTGGTGGAAATGAAATAGAAGTATCAAACTTCTTCACTTTTTGAGATTCACTGCTGTGACAAAGGTCTATGTCTCGTCCCTAAAAATAATAATGAAAATGTAAGTATTTTCAAACATTTAATTTACCTTACAATGATAATTGCATAATTGGAGATTCTAAGGTCTCTGCCAGCTCAAAAATTTCATGCATATTCAAATTACCATAAAAAGAAAATGTTTTTAAAACCATGTTTTAAAATTTAGATTCACATACAAGTCAAGTAACAAAATCTTATTTTTCCATAAATGATTGATTCTCAAAGTTTTTTAATCTAATTTTATTTACAGTCCAATATATATTTATAGAAAGGAGCTCTGGTAGCGTAGTGGTTATGAATCGGGCTATGAGCCGCAAGGTCAGCAGTTCGAAACTACCAGTGGTTCCGCGGGACAAAGATGAGGCGGTCTGCTCCCGTAAAGATGTACAGCCTCGGAAACCCTGTGTAGGGTCACTATGAGTAGGAACCAACTCCACGGCACTTAACAACAACAAATATTTATAGAATGTCATGCATTTTTTTTTCTTTCAGAAATTAAATACTTCTGTTACAGCAACATTTATTAAAACATTTTAACATTAATTAATATATTACACAGGAAGTCCCTGACTTACAACATTCCATAAGCAGTTGTTTTGAGTATTACCTTGGATGATAATATTCTTTTCTGGGTAACTCAAAACCTATTTTCCAAAAGCTAAGCATGAATTTTCCATTACAGAAATAGCTATAAAGTCATTCCTGGTCAGTCAAAAGTAAACCAGAGTCTACCGGAGGGTTTCTGGATAAGGCTTTTACTTTCGTTTAAGCCACTGTATCTGAGTTTTCTCTTAGGGCACAAGAACACATTCCTATCTAGTATATCATGTAATGTGGTACATTTCACAATACTGTCCTCTGGCTAACGACAGCTCATCACCATCATGCTCAGATGTTTAAAATGCCCTGGAGAACCCCTGTTTACACAAATACATGTAATGAAGTGGAGCAAATAATTGGCTTAACCTTTTCATATTTTTCATGAGGTATCATCATTTCTGAATTCAAACTTTTAAGTCTCCCATTCAGTTTCAATGTTATCTGTACATCCCCAAACTAACCCGACTATTTAAAATCTTTGTGACTTTACTCATGATACTTCAAATTTTGCACGCCATCAACATCTTTCAAAGATTCATTCACTTATCATACCACTTTGGCAGAAGCTTTTCTAAGCCTCTCTACATCCTCTCTCTTATACAACTGAGCACCCATCTGCTCTCTTGTGCCATCTAAGGAGTGGACTCCTTGTGTGGCGCTATAGGAAACCTACCAGCTGCTTCTCGGAAACTCTGTACAGGGTCTCTATGACTCAGAATCAACTTAATAGGACTTAACAACCAAGAAGTAGTCACAGAATCTGTAAAAAATTTACCAAGATGTCACGGTAGGATAACCACAGTAATAGGGTTCAAACACACCAGATGCTCCTCATTAATCCTATATCTAGTGAGCCTAGAGTGGTTATGATTTGGAACTGACTTGATAGCATTTAACAACAACATATTTTCATCAGTGGTTGTTGCTGGTGTTAAGAGTTGTTAAGCGCCACTGAGTCAGTTCTGACTCACATAAGTGGCTCTCTCTGTATATGGTTTCCAAGGAGTGATTGGTTGAACTACTGACCTTGTGGTTCAAACCAATCTTGGATTCTAGTGCTTATCCTACAGTGACACACTAAGACCCAAAAGCTGCTATTTAATAAATGGTATTGTTTGGCATCATCTTTTGGCCTAAGGATGGTGGTGGTGTGATGTCGACTCAAGTCTGACTCATACTGACTCTCCAATCTTTATAGGAGTAGAAAGCACCATCTTTCTCCTGTGGAGAGGCTGGTAGATTTGAACTGCTTACCTTGAAGTTTAGCAAGATATTAAGTATCTATAAACAAGAAAGTTTGGGAACCTCTGATGTAAACTATTTGTTATAGCAGCCACAAGAAACTAAGAGATGTGGTATAAAAAACTATCACCTCTGAGATTTTAACTGCTTTCCTCATCTGTTGCTCTTCCCAAACATCTTGATTTTCATCATCTTGACTTTCTTCACTTCTGGTTGCTACAAAAAAGGAAAAAAAAGTCCATGAATAAACATTAGTTTTCCATTCTATTAGCAACAGCTAACATTTTGAGGGCTTATAATGTGTAGGTCATGGTGGCACTGTGGGTTAGGCACTTGTCTGGAGAACAATGAGGCTGTCTGTTCCTGTTGAGATTTACAGTCTCGGAAACCCTATATAATGTCACTATGAGTCAAAATCAATTTGATGGCAGTGGGTTTGTTTGATCTGTATGTATTAACTTATATAGATTTCATAATAATCCTATTTATAAATGAGGAGATTCAGAAACTGGGATGTTAAATGACTATGCTGAAGATAGGACTTTATTCCAAGATTCTGACTGCAGCAGGGGCACTCTTACCACCAAGTGTCAAAACACAAGTCCCATATGTGTACAACACGGCAGTCCTGTATGTGTTAAACATGGAAGTCCCGTAATGTGTACAACACGGCAGTTCCGTATGTGTATAGCACGATAGTCCCGTAATGTGTACAACACAGCAGTCCCGTATGTGCACAACACGGCAGTCCCGTAATGTGTACAACACAGTTCCGTATGTGCACAACACGACAGTCCTGTAATGTGCACAACACGGCAGTCCCGTAATGTGCACAACACGTCAGTCGCGTATGTGCGTAGCACGGCAGTCCCGTAATGGGTACAACACGGCAGTCCCGTATGTGTACAACACTGCAGTCCCGTAATGGGTACAACACGGCAGTCCCATATGTGTACAACAATGCAGTCCCGTAATGGGTATAACACGGCAGTCCCGTATGTGTGCAACACACCAGTCCCGTAATGTGTACATAACACGGCAGTCCCGTAATGTGTACAGCACGAAAGTCCCGTATGTGCTCAACACGACAGTCCCGTATGTGCGCAACACGGCAGTCCCGTATGTGTGCAACATGCCATTCCCGTATGTGTGCAACACGCCAGTCCCGTATGTGTACAACACACCTGTCCCGTATGTGTACAACACGGCAGTCTCGTAATGTGTACAACACGGCAGTTCCGTATGTGTGCAACACGGCAGTCCCATAATGTGTACAACACGGCAGTCCTGTATGTGCACAACACGCCAGTCCCGTATGTGTGCAACACGACAGTTCCGTAATGTGTACAACACGTAAGAAAAAATGAAATGCTTGGTTTTGCTACAAAAGAACTTGCAACTGCTTTGAGAGAAACCAAACATTTATAAATCACTTAAAATTTTTTGGGTTATAAGGAAACAAAATCCTTACTCTGAAAGAATATTTTTGAAGTGACAAAAACCTCGGTAGACGCCATTGTTTAAAAACTTTTGATACTTATTGCTAAATTGCCTTCCACTTTTAAGAGTTTTACCATATAAACTATTTCTATCACTTGTGTGAAATTGCCTCTTTCATTGTACCCTTGTCAGCTTTTTGTAATTAATAATAATCTGTACTAAGCTTCTTATAGGGGATAAGTAAGATTTTTTTTTTAAAACTTGAATTTTTAATATTTATTGATGCTTTATTGTTCTCAATGAATGTATATTTCTTATTGGCTTTTACTACTATTCTTGAATAAAATGTGCAGCAATTGGTGAAAAAACAACAGAAAAACAAAACAAAACAAAGGCTTGGTAGAATGTTATTGCTTATAAATGAGAAATGTGAAAAAGTTATTCAAAACTCATGGATCACTGTTAGAGAAAGTTTTCTTACTAGAGGAGGGTAGATTTTATCTCACAACACCCAAATCTCTGCAGATGCTTTCATGTATATTAAAAAAAAAAAAATCTTTTGAAGGTAACAATGGTTTCTAAAGTTTCAAAAATAAGACACTATATGATTTTTTAAAAAAATCTGTCAAATGGTCAGGTTATAGTACACAATATTACACATACCTACAGAAATGACTTTTAGAAGCCATAATGTCATTAACCAAATTAACAGTAAAGCTAAAAAAAAATCAGCACACCTTTGTATATGACACTAACCTAAACTTCTATGAGAATTTTATCATAATTTTTACATTCTAATAAAATTTCTTTCATCTTTATTTACTGATAAATACGTACTTGCTTCTTCAGCCATTCTTTGTCGAAGTGTTTGAGGCTTTGGGGTAAATGGTATTCTTTCTTCACTGGCATCAGGCTCACTCTCAGAATCTTCATCACAGCTCTTTAGACCAGAGGTGGTGGAAGTCTGTTTTACATCCAAAGAAATATAGTCTTCTCGGGCCCTGGCTAGCTCACGTTTTCTGCGGGCTGCCTGAATGAATACTGCATCAGGGATTCTAACTGAATGAAAAAATAAGAGGACAGTGAAAAATCAAATGCTAAGGAAAACAAATAATCCTCACAATTAAATCAAGACAATAAGTAACATTTTTAAAACTTTTTTATTAACCATTTTAATATTTTATGTTAATAAATGGCACAAACTATATATTGATAAAGGAAAATGATTTGATAGAGATTAAATATAGAGAAATGAATTCAATGTATCAGAAACACATACTGAAGCACTTCAATTTATTCTCTCTCATACTCATCAGAGTTTGTTGCTGACTTTTTGTTGAGGGCTAGCTATTTCTCCCACCACTTGTCTGTCAGTTGTCATACTGTGGTAGCTTGTGAGTTGCTGTGATTCTGAAAGCTATGCCACTGGTATTTTAACTACCAGCAGGGTCATCCATGATGGACAGGTTTCAGATAAGCTTCCGGACAAAGACAGACTAAGAAGAATGAGTGACGAACTACTTCCAAATATCCAGTCACTGAAAACCTTACAGCAGAGAAACACTGTCAGATATTGTGCCGGAAAATGAGCCCCTCAGGTTGGAAGGCACTCAAAATGCATCTGGGGAAGAGCTGCCTCCTAAAAGCAGAGTTGACCGTGATGAAGTGAATGGAGTAAAGCCCGTGGTAGAAAAGCCCATGGGACCTTCATTTGTTGATGGGGCACAACTCAAAATGAAGAGAAACAGCTGTAAACATCCATTGAAAATTAGAACATTGAATGTACAAAGTATGAATCTGGGAAAACTGGAAGCTGTCAAAAATGAAATGGAACACATAAACATCGATATCTTAGGCATTAGTGAGCTGAAATGGACTGGTATTGGCCATTTTGAATCTGATGACCACATGGTTTCCTATGCAGGAAATGACCAATTGAAGAGGAATGGTGCTGTCAAAAAGAACATATCCAGATCAGTCATGAGGTACAATGCTGTGTGATAGGATAATATCCATGCGCCTACAGGGAAGCCCAGAGTCCTGGTGTGGCGCTGTGGGTTAATGAGCCAGACTGCAAAGCCGTTTGAACTGCAAGGCAGGAGATTCAAGCTCACCAGTCACACCTCAGAAACCCTATATAGGGTTGCTATGGGTCAGAACCGACTCAAAGGCACTTAACAACAACAGGGAAGTCCAGTTAATATCACTATTATTCAAATTTACGCACCGACCACTAAAGTGAGTGAGGATGAAATAGAAGAATTCTACCAACTTCTTCAATCTGAAATTGATCAAACACGCAATCAAAATGTATTAATCATTACTGGTGATTGGAATGAAAAGGTTGGGAGCAAAGAGGAAGGATCAGTACTTGGAAAATACGGCCTTGATGATAAGACACGATGCTGGAGAACGCATGGTAGAATTCTGCAAAATCAATGTTTTGTTCATTTCAAATACCTTCTTTAGACAGCGTAAGAGACTATGATACACATGGACCTCACCAGATGGAATACAGAGAAATCAAATTGACTACATCTGTGAAAAGAGATGATGGAAAAGCTCCATATCATTAGTCAAAACAAGGCCAGGGGCAGACTGGAACAGACCATCAATTACTCATATGCAAATTGAAACTGAAGCTGAAGAAAATGAAAACAAGTCCACAAGAGCCAAAATATGACCTTGAATATATCCCACCTGAATTTAGAGATCATCTGAAGAACAGATTTGATACATTAAACACTAAAGACTGAAGACCAGAAGAGTTGTGGGATGACATCAAGAATATTATACATGAAGAAAGCAAAAACTCATTAAGACAAGAAAGAAGGAAAAGGTCAAAATGGATGTCAGAAGAGACACTGAAACTTGCTCTCCAGCGGAGAGGCTAAAGCAAATGGAATAAATGAAGAGGTACAAGAGGGGAAAAGAAACTTTCAAAGACCAGCTCAAGAAGATAAAGTGAAATATTACAACAAAATGGGTAAAGATTTGGAATCAGCATACCAGAAAGGAAGTAGCATGCTCAGCATTTCTCAAACTGGGGGAACTGAAGAAAAAATTCAACCCTCGAATTTCATTATTAAGAAAGGTGTGAGACAAGGTTGTATTCTTTCACCATACTAATTCAACCCGTATGCTGAGCAAGTAATCCGAGAAGCTGGGTTCTATGAAGAAAAACGTGGCATCAGGATTGGAGGAAGACTCATTAACAACCTGCGATATGAAGATGATACAACCTTGCTTGCTGAAAGTGAAGAGGACTTAAAACATTTACTGATGAAGATCAAAGAGCACAGCATTCAGTATGGGTTGCATCTAAATGTCAGGAAAACAAAAATCCTCACCACTGGACCAATAAACGACCTTCTTATCAGTGGAGAAAAGATTGAAGTTGTCAAGGACTTCATTCTTCTTGGATCAACTATCAACACTCACAGAAGCAGCAGTCAAGAAATCAAATGGTATATTGCATTAGGCAAATCTGCTGCACAAGGCCTTTTAAAAGTGTTGAAGAGCAAAGATGTCAGCTTGAGGACTAAGGTGCACCTGACTCAAACCATGGTATTTTCAGTAACCTCCTATGTATGTGACAGCTAGACTGTGAATAAGGAAAAGCGTAGAATTGATGCTTTTGAATTGTGGTGTTGGAGGAGAACATTGAAAGTGCCATGGGCTGCCAAAAGAACCAATAGATCCGTTATGGAAGAAATGCAGCCAGAGTGCTCCCTGGAGGCCGAGATAGCCAAACTTTGCCTCTCATATTTGGACATACTATCAGAAGACACCAGTTGCTGGAGAAGAATATCATGTTTGGTAAAGTGGAGGGACAGAGAAAGAGAGGAAGACCCCCACCAAGATGGACTGGCCAAGAGGCAGCAACGATGGACTCAAGCGTGGCAACAGCAATGAAGTTGGCCCAGGATCAGGCAGTATTTCGTTCTGCTCTGCATAAGGTCGCTATGAGTCAGTACCGACTTGATGGCACCTAACCACAACAACAAGCTATTTTTCAGAGACCTGGTGTGGCACTGGAGGATGGTAAGCAATGGACTAACTGTAAGGTCTGCAGTTCAAACCCATCAGCGACTCCTTAAAAACACTATAGTGTAACTATGAGTCAGAACCGACTCAACTGCACACAACAAGCAATTTTTCTCTCCAGAAGTTCTGAGATGGTCTGGGTAAGGATGTGCAGAGGCTAAGCATTAAGTTGCACAGTTATAGAGAATTACAGAGGTCAGAAGGATCTGGTGACTGACAAGTCTAACATACGAAGAGGACCAAGATACCAGTAGACTCCGGCATATGACATATATGAGTTATTACTAATGGCACTTATAAACGTCACTGTATGTGGAACACTGCAGTTATGGGAAAATGCATGCAGGGAATATGGAATAAAGTACTGAGTTATATAAACACATGCTAAGCACTGATCAGAATAATAAGACAGAAGCTATCGGTGGAAAAATCAGTCATATGCTGATTTTAGAATTTGACTTGACAAATGCGAAACAGCTAATAGAATATAAAGAAGCCGAACGGACATATCAGGTGTGGTTTAATGCGCCAGACTGTAAAGTTGTTTGAACTACAAGGTCGGTGGTTCAAACTCACCAGTCGTTCCTTGGAACCCTATACAGGGTTCCTATGGGTCGGAACTGACTCGTCGTTACTTAACAACAACAACAAAGTGGAAAGCAATGCTGAAGAAAAAACAAATGTGAGAAGTTATTACAAAAATTTGTAGTGAAAAAATTAAGGGGAAAAAAAAAGGGAACTTACAGACAACTCTCACTGATTCCCTGACTGGAAGCACCGTTCCCATAAGCGAATAACCCAGATCATCCACAGAAGGAGTTACTACTGCAACTGACAAAATGCACTCTTAATCAAACTCTTCTTCACATTCAGTGCACATGCTTATGATTTATGTACTTTTAATTTATGTATATATGTATTAAAATATATCTGAGTTTAAATGTAATGTTTCAAACCCCAAACACGAAGATTGCATTTACAAAGATACTGGTAATAAATAGCAGTAACTATGAAAAGTTTAAAAAAAAAAAAAAAAAAAAAAAAATCCAGGTATTCGATTTATGTCAGAAATTGAGTCAATAAATGAAGTCCCACCATAAATTAGGGACTACTTGTGCTACGATCTGCACTTTCCTGTAGACATCAGGAATATGCTGTGTTGTGAAGTACCACTGAGTCGATTCCAACTCATAGTGACCCCACACAGAATTTCCGAAGAGCGGCTGGTGTGTTTGAACTGCCAACCTGTGGTTCAAACGAGCCTTGTGGTCCAGTGCATTATCCTGCGCTGCCACAACAGGAATACAGACAGAAAGCAACAATGTGTCCAACAAAGCACAAGCAAGTAATCATCCAAGGTTCTATGGTGAGTCCTGCATGAATAAATATGTTCCGATGTACCAGTTTTTAGGGATCAGGTCATCTCTCTCTGCAGTCTAAGGGGATGGCAAACTGCTACCCCACCATGCTGTTTCACTTGTAGTTACTTTGTAGTTGATATGAGCAGTCAATTTTGACACTGGGACAATCCATAGTAAATTACTTGGCACATACACTTCACTAGTTTGTTACATTATCAATAATGAGAACCACAAGTATAGAAAACACTGACATTAGAAAAAAAAGCTATTAACCAAAATTACAAAGATTACCAACCTAATGATGAAAATTCCTTTTCTTCTGGAGAGCTAGTGTTGATGGAAGATGAACTCTGATCATCCTGACTTTCTGAGGAGTGATGTGTTCCACCCTCTTCATCAGTTGAGAAAACATTTGTTCTGGATTCTAAGAGGGCATTTTCTGCATCTAACAAGAGCCAGAGAAAACACTGGAACTAATAATTGAAATTCGAAATAATATATGACATATGTATGCTACAGTGGATTAATCCTACTCCATATCTAACGTAAACATAACAGTTCCTTCTCCAACTTCGTCTGTATGAAACCAATGAGTTGTCTAATTCTACTTGTACTACTTATCTATTATCTAATGAAAGACAAAGATTACAATGAGAAGAGGGAAGCGGACATTCGAGGGGAAAACAATAGCACAAAAAACAGAAGGGCTAGCTAGAGCAGAAAAGAGAAACAGTGTTAGTGAGTAAGTAGAAAAAATTCTTCATGAAGACTGTGTTAGGCACATTGAAACCTGTTTCACAAGGTTCACTGCATTTAACACTTACAATTACATAAAGTAGATGCTACTTCTGGTAGCGTAGTGGTTATGAATCGGGCTGCGAACCTTAAGGTCAGCGGTTCGAAACTACCAGCTACTCCACGGGAGAAAGATGAGGCTTTCTACTCCTGTAAAGATTTACACCCTCGGAAACCCTGTACAGGGTCACTATGGGTCGGAATCGACTCGACGGCACTTAAAAACAACAACAACAACTTCTGGTTAGGGCACTAAGAATTGCAGAGGTTATTTATCATGCCCAAAGTAGTAACAATAATAAAGTATAAGTGTTTTGAAACTAAATCCACCCAATCTAGTCTCTCATGCTGTAATTTCAATGCCTGGTGGCCAGAGGTAATGAGCACTTTGATCTTGAGTCAAATCCTGGGAAGGTCATTTACTCGATTACTTTAAATTAACCTATTACATAAAGATAACATCAACAGATATAGTAGCATCCACAGAGGTGGTAAAAGAATCTAATGAGCAAAAATGTACAGGAATTCTTGGTATTACTGGAAAGAACTCGACGGCACGTGGCTGTAACACTATACTAAGGGGACCTGGTGGCGCTGCAGGACAAGCATGGGTAGCAGTTGGTACCCACCACTCTGCAGGAGAAAAATGAGACGTACAGCCTCAGGAACCCTACCCAAGGTCGCCAACCCACTGGAGGGCTGTGGGTTAAAGTACGATTCTGGCTTAGGTGTTTTCTAAAACAAAGGTTCAACTCTTTAATTGACAGGCTTCCGAAACGTACAGAAACCTTTGCTGCTTACTTCAGTGGGATTCAGAAATCTTGAACTCTTTTGTGATTTAGGTTCTGCATAAACAGCAAGTATTGTACGCTGTGTCTGATAGGCGGCGGTCACCTGGGGATGCCAACACAGAAGAGGTACCCATTATACAAGATTCCTTTTACTCCCCCAAACAAAGTTACGAATGAACCGTCGGGCTGAACTCCGAGGGGCAAGCGGCGGACCACTTGAAATCCCAGAGGCGGCGCCAGGCACCAACGGATCACCTCCCGCCACGCCCACGAGGGGCCCTCACCGCTTCCGGGGTCACCATGGTCGCTAGAGTCACTGCCTGCGCTGGGGGCTGCTCTCGTGGCGCGCCGGGAACTCGCCCAGACTCGGCCCCGAGGGCGCCGGCCTCTGATCAGTCGTGTGACCACCGTTGGAGACGGTCCTTCTTCCGCAGGACTCGGGGCCGACTGCTCCTGCGGCGCCCCGGGTTCTGAGGACGACTCCTTGCCGTCACCGTCACTGGAATCGGCTCGGCGTTGCCGAAAAGTCCTTTTTGGTCTGTGAGCCATAGCGCAAGCCCTGGCACCGCGCGCACGTTTACTCCCACCGAATAGAGCACGCCGAACGTCCGGTGCGCGCTCCCGCCCGACTTCCTCGTGCGTGCTCCCGTTCAGCGCGCCTTGATTCCCGTTTCCTGCGGTCCATCGGAACTGCGCATGCGTGTTTCACTTGCTTCTATTGAATGGATAGGCCAATCTCTGGGTTCTTACTTAAACCGTAGCGATTCGACTTTCACTGAGTCCGGTACGGAGACGTATTCTCAAAGCTTTCTCTGTGTGTAAATGCTGATCAGTTATTTATAATAAATTATTGAATGATTGTAAAGCGAGTTTACTTTAAAAAAAAATCCAGATAAATAACTTCCAGGACACTGCCTGAAAGGGTTTTTGTTTTGTTTTTTGCTTGGGGAGGTGGCTTGTAATGTGAAAAAGTACTCTTCTAGAATAGGCATTCTTGTGATATTTAGAAGAGCAGCTTCCCACCATCGACCAAGCACTCCATAGCTAGAAAGAACTTAATCAACTAAGAGATGCTAAAGAGTGTTGCAATTGGCCCAATGCTTTTCAATCTACCATCTTAACTTGCAGAATTCTCAAGTCCTGTGATGAATATTTTCTAACTCACACTACTAAGCCAAACAACAACAACAAAACCCCAACCAAAATCGAGTGCCATAAATCAGATTCTGACTCACAACGACCCAAGATTCTGAGGCTATAAATCTTTACTGGAGTAGAAAGTCTCATCTTTCTCTCCGGAACAGCTGGTGGGTCTGAACGGCTGACCTTGATGTTAGCAGTTCAGTGCTTATCCTACAGCACCATCAGCTCCATACAAAGCAGTTAATGCAAAACCTAAACCTAGATTATGATTTTTAAATGGTCAGGAGAATGACTATAATTATGATTAGAGGGAAAATCTGTACATTTATGCATTACATAAAGAAAAGCCATACATTATGCAATTCATTTAGTATTGATTATGTACCTAGTAGCCCAGACACCAAGCTAAGCCCTAAAATAACACTCCTCAAGTCTAATGTTCTGCAAATCACACGCAAACCATGTGCAAGTGCAGAAACTGACTGAACAGGTCTGTGGTGGGACCTTAGATTGTTCATGTTTAGCAAACTGCCAGGTGTCACCAAGGGTGCTGATCTGAGGACCACACTTTCAGTAGCAAAACCCAAGACAGATACAAGATAAATCGCTGTTGTTGTGACTCAGAGTGACTCTGCATATACAGTGGTTCAGAGGAGTGAGTGGTGGGTTTGAGCCTTGTTAGCAGTCCACTGCTTATCCTACAGTGCGACGCCAAGACTCCACAAGATTATCCCTCATAAGAATTTGTTGTCATCACTTTTCAATGTTCCTGGTAACTTTGTCATCATGAACTTCATATCAGATTGTTACAGCATCCAAATACCGTTATGTATTTCCTAATCTGGAAAGTGAATAATCTTCAAGAGGAAAACTAATAACTTATTTGCTAGTGATTATTCTGTGGGTTAATGCACCAGACTACGAAGGCGTTTCAACTGCAAGTTTGGCGATTCAAGCTCACCAGATGCTCCTCAAAAACCCTATGTAGGTGGAAACCCTAAACGCTATGAGTCGGAACCAACTCCATGGACTAACCACCCCCATCACCACTATACTATCAAGTGCATGAAATGTACTGAAATAACAGGAACACAATGAGTTAAATTTGCAGATGAAGCAATCTGAAAGACTGATACTCCATCACGAATAATGAAACCTGAAAATTAATCATACTAGCTTATTGGATATGCTATTAAGATAAAAATACAGAAGAACTGCTATTTAAAGCATAAATTAAATTTTTATTCTAAGGGTGATAAGATGAATAAGAAAAATGAGTTTCTCAAACAAGGAAAAACTTGTTTAATAAAGGGGTTGTTTTGTTGTTGTTGTTGTTGTTAGGTGCCATCGAGTTGGTACCAACTCATAGTGACCTTACACACAGCAGAATGAAACACTGCCCGATCCCGGGCCAAACTCACTACATGCTGCCACTTGGCCATTTCATCTCGTTGGGGGTCTTCCTCTTTTTTTCTGACCCTCCGCCTTACCAAACATGATATCCTTCTCCAGCAACTGGTCCCTGCTGACAACACGTCTGTAGTATGAGAGAGGAAGTTTGGCCATCCTGGCTTTAGGTACTGAACAGGTACATTGTTGTAATTGTTGTTGTTGTTGTTAGGTGCCATCGAGTAGGAACCAACTCATAGCGACCCCATGCACAGCAGAACATGATAGTTATGATATTGCTTGATAATTTCTTCCTTCAGTTGAATCGCCTTTCTTTGGAATGGACGTAAATATGTATCTATTCCAAATGGTTAGCCAGGTAGCTCTCTTCCAAATTTCTTGGCACAAGGAGTAAGTACTTCTAGCATTAAATCAGTTTATTGAAGCATCTAAATTGCTATTCTGCCAGTTATTTGAGTATTGTGAGGTTTTTTTTGTTTTGTTTTGTTTTGTTTTTGTAATACCTTCAGTGCAGCTGGACTTCTTCTTTAACTTTCATGGTTCTTGATCCTGTGCTATCTTCTGAAATGGTTGCACGTCAACCAACTCTATTTGGTACAATGTCTCTTCTTTTAATGCCTCCTAATTATTTTTTTTTTTTGTCCATATAATCTTTCATTGTTACAACCTGAGGTTTCTATGTTTTCTTCAATTCTTCAGCTTGAGAAACATTGAGCGTCTTCTACCCTTTTGGTTTTCTAACTCCAAATCTTTCACATTTCATTATAATACCTTCCTTTGTCTTCCTGATGTATCCTTTAAAATATTCTTCCAATTTTTCATTTTATCTCTTCTTGCATTTGCTTTACCAACAAGTTTCAGAGACTTTTTGACTTCCAGTTCGATCTTTTTTTCTTTCCTGTCTTTTTAATGACTTTTTGTGTTTTCATGTATGATCTTAGATGTCATATTCTGGTTTTTGGTCATTAGTGTGTAATGAATCAAATATGTTCTTGAGATGGACTCTAAATTCAGGTGGGGTATACTCAGGGTTTTACTTTGGCTCTTTTGTACTAGTTTTAATTTTCTTCAGCTTGAACTTGAACTTTTATGTGATCAACTGATGGTATGTTTCTCACTTAGCCTCTGGCATTGTCCTAACTGATGATATTAAGCCTTTACATTATCTCTTTCCATAGTTGTATTCGATTTCATTCCTGCATATTCCATCTGACAAGATCCATGTGTATAAATTGTCATTGGTGTTGTTGTTAAGTACCATCAAATCAGTTCTGACAAGTTGTTTTTAGGTGCCATCAAGTTGGTACCAAATCACAGTGATCCTATACACAACAGAATGAAACACAGCCCGGTCCTGGGCCAGCCTCACAATTGTTGCTAAGCCTGAGCCCATTGCTGCTCCTACTGTGATAATCCTTCTCATTGGAGGTCTTCCTCTTTTTCTCTGACTCTCCACTTTACCAAACATGATAGCGTTTTTCAGTGACTGGTCCCTCCTGATAATATGTCTGAAGTATGAGAAATGAAGACTGGCAATCCTGCCTTCCAAGGAGCACTCTGGGTGTATTTCTTCCAAATACAGATCTGTTTGTTCTTTTGGCAGTCCATGGTACTTTCAATATTCTCCTCCAACACCATAACTCAAATGCATCAATTCTTCTACGGTCTTCCTTATTCATTGTCCAACTTTCTCATGCATATGAGGCTTGGGTCTGGTGCACCTTACTCCTCAAACTGACGCATTCGGTCTTTAACATTTAAAGAGGCCGTATGCAGCAGATTTGCCCAATGAAATACGCCATTTGATTTCTTGGCTGCTGCTTCCATAATTGTTGATGGTTGATCCGAGCAAAATGAAGTCTTTGGCAACTTCAAATTTTTCTCCATTTACATGGATACATTTCCATAAATTGTCCATTTATATGGATAAATGGTCCAACTCATAGTGACCACGTATAGGGTTTCTGAGGCTTTAAATATTTGCAGGAGCAGAAAGCCTCATCTTTCACCTACATAATTGTCATAATTATGCTGTTGAAAAAACTGTATGTCTTATGAATAAATTATTGGTGTTGCAAAACTCCATGTAGTCTCTGGAGTTATTTCTGTCACCAAGGTCATATATGTCAACTGCTGATACTTCTTCATTTCCAACTTTTGTATTCTAATCACCAATAATTATCAATATATCTTGATTGCATGCTTGATCAATTTCAGACTTCAGAAGCCGATCAAAATCTTCAGTTTCCTCATCTTTGGCGATAGGGTTTGGTGCTTAAATTGGAATAATAGTCATATTAACTGGTCTTTCTTACAGGTATATGGATATCATCCTATTACTGGCAGGATTTACTTCAGAATAACTTTTTTTTTTTTTTTTTGATGATGATGAATGGAATGCCATCCTTCTTCAGTTTCTCATATGTAGCATAGTAGGTGAAAAGGACCAACAAATGGAGGTCCTGAAAGCTTTGCTCCAACCATGTCATTAAGGCGAACTTTAACTTTGAGGAGTCAGCTCTTCCCCAGTCATATTTTGAGTGCCTTCTAACCTGAGGTTCCTGTCTTCTGGTACTCTATCAGACAATGTTCCACTGCTATTCATAAAGTTTTCAGCGGCTAACCTTCCATAAGTGGTTTACCGCTCTGTCTTCCTAGTCTGTCTTAATCTGGAGGTGCCACTGAAACTTGTCTATCATGGGTGACCCTGCTAGTATTTGAAATATCGGTGGCATAGCTTCCATTATCACAGCAACACACAAGCCACCAAACTGACAAATGTGTGGTGGTCTCAAAGTAGAGACAACCTTAACGATGTGAATAAAGTAAAGCTACCAGGAAATTCATTTGTTGTGTGGCATGCCTTAAAATTAAAAGAAACAGCTGCAAACACCCATTAAAAAGAACATTTCAAGATCTATTTTGAAGTACAATGTTGTCTGTGTTAGGATAGCCATACACCACCCAGGAAGAGTCAACATCACTCTTATTTAAAT